TCAGTCTCTGAGGTCATTTATTTAACACAATGAACAACCTAATCGATGATAACATTGGAATTGAACATCCTAAAACCAATCGTTATGGGCATTTAGATGAGTGATAGGCACCTTTCTTCTAATAAATGTGTGATCTAGGAACTCATACAGATATTATTAGAGAGAAATGGGATGTTCCTTAATCCATAGATTCATTACTTAATATTTGGTGATCAATTGAGTTGTTAATAGATAACGGTGAACTATTTTGAATAACTGCACCATAGACTACTCATGATGTTTTCATTCTTTTGGAGTTCAGAACATGGTAGATTTATTCATAGTGGCTGAAATTAGATGTACATCAGATACACCTTTCAGTCCAGTGTTAAAGTAAAGTTTGAATTGTAAAATCACCTGCACTGATTATTTTAGTGTCAAACCATCCTACTACCATTTCGGAACTGTAACCCTTACATCACTGAGCAATTTAAACTCACAATATACTTCAGTGAGCGAAGAAACTAAGCAAACTCCAATCAAACTCCACTATGAATTCAGCAAACTATGGTGGTACATATTCACTGTTCACTGTTACGTCGAAAAATATTTCTAGTTATACATCACAAATTTGTCTAAAATTTACTGATTTCACACCTGATTCATTCTTTAATATGCTTACCTTGATATACTTCGATATATAAAAACACGTCTTGTACACCAGATTGTTTCTGTCACTGATTTTCTGTACTCACTTCTGAGGATATAAGTGATGAATGAATGGAACCGTCATAATGAAAAAATAATCGCGTTTGTAGTTGAACAAACAAATACTATCAACGTTAAGTCGAACAGTTAACAACTAGTTTTACCAAACAGCAAATTTTACTCAAAGACAACTAATTCTATTCGTTTTTCTAATAAAATATAGCAGATGGATCTCTTACTATTGTTATAATTTCGTATGAAATTTGAGAAAGCTAATCGTTACTCTAACTGTTACGATTATTTTTATCCTCCGTTTGATCGTCACTAAACTGCAATAAACCAAATGCAGATCAAGTGTTTTCATGAGCAGAATATTCCTTATTCGACTATTCTGTTTGTAATGTTGAAGAAGCTCGCACCTCGCTAACTCCACCCAAATCCAGGTACTTTCTGAAATGGAAGCAAAATATTTATTCCGATGGATTAAAGATAAACTGGTCAATAGACGTTTCTCCATACATAACACTCTCAGTATTTTACTTCACAATATACGGTTTTAACAATGACGTGAACATTTTAGTAGGGAATTGTATGGATTTCTCTTCTCGGTGAATCAGTCCATTCAATGTGAGTATAAATCCCGCTCTCCATATCTACGAGAAACATTGTTTCGTGTTGTCAAGACAGTTTAATCTCTGTACGTAGAGTCGATTGACTGATGTCCAATGAAATAATACTTCAGTAAATTTAACGCTACTAACTGTTTAATTCTTCCACTTTACAATAGGCAGTCAAGATGAACATGCTGTTTAATCGGAGAGACCATTGGATATAAATAGACGGTTTACAGCTTCAAATGATCGAAGGCTATTGAAGAGTACAATGAAATATCGCAAGTGCATGAGGAAAATACGAATCATTTGAAAACGATGGAGAAGTCATTTGGTTTACACTAAATGTTTAGTTTAAACTTGTGGTCTACAATAAGGTAAAATTTATTTACCCTGTTAAATGGGATCCGCTAGTTTTCAGTATATCCGACGTATTTTACACCAAGATGATAAGTTTATATGCTGTAGAACTGTGCATCTGATTATTTTAGGATTATTTTGACTGAGAGAATGCATTTGCTAATTTGTCAATGTGGCTACATAATGAAACCATTTAGTTCAAAGTAGAAGAGTAATTCTTACATAGAGCAATATAAGACGTGGAAATCAACATGAAGACCAGCTGGCACAGTTCACAAGATTATTCAACAGAAATTCGTATTGATTAATCAGTTTTTTTAGGAGCAATATGTTTGAAAAATATGTGATCCCAAGAAAAATGCATTGCTAATAATACAGCCAAATATTAGTAACGATAATATGGTATAAAATATAGGTTTAGCGTGAAAGCTTTAGTTCACATTGTAAATGGTTACGGGGTTAGCGAGGCTAGCGAACATGAAATTGAACAAGTTTTAAAACTTGAATAGACTAAATAAGTAGATCGAAGTTCAAAATTTTGATTCAGAACATCAGCTACTGCATAAGATCTATTACTGAAATAATCAACACCTGAACGTAATTAATATCTTTGATGTCCAATCAATTGATATTATGAGATGATATAGTGTTACACTCCAGTTGCATTTTTCAAACCACAACATGCTCTGTGCCATCAAGCTCAGCATCCCAATACTACAATTGAAGAACTAAAACAGTAGTTAATTACATTTCACACAACATTCTAGTAAAATATTCGTTTTCGCGGTGAACCATGTCATAGGCTGAGTAAAAAAATATACATGAACGTATTAAAAGCACCAGGAAAGCCTGATATGATGACAGATAAGCTTATTATCACCTGATAATGACTTAAATGTTAAGAGAAGAGAGATGAAGCCGTTTTACATAGTATTCTTTGTAAATACACCTCACAATTTCAATCAACTGGTTAACACCGTTTTATATATTCATTTAGTCTTTTGAACTATTCGGATTAATATTATTATCAGTTTTATTATGAAATTAATTGGTTCTCTCCTGAAATTAGCCGAACAATCTCTGAATATATGATAGCACCAGATCACTCTGTCGTCCGAATTTGAGACTTCTTAACGCTGGATGATTATAACTTCATTTAATACCAAAACTATTAACTGCTGTTCTCACAAGCACATTATTATTACTCAGTTAATGAATGGAAATCCATCGGTCATCTTTCAGTACTACAGGTAGTTTCTGAATAGCACTATCGCCATTTAGTGCCATCGCTAAGGTCCCAACTCAATACCGACTTGACTGACTACATGGCTTACGAATTATCACCTTACTTACTTACTTACTTACGCCTGTTACTCCCAATGGAGCATAAGCCGCTGACCAGCATTCTCCAACCCACTCTATCCTGGGCCTTCTTTTCTAGTTCCATCCAATTCTTGTTCATTTTTCTCATGTCTATCTCCATTTCCCGGCGTAATGTGTTCTTTGGTCTTCCTCTTTTCCTTTGACCTTCAGGATTCCATGTGAGGGCTTGTCTTGTGATACAGTTGGGTGCTTTCCTCAATGTGTGTCCTATCCACTTCCAGCGCTTCTTCCTGATTTCTTCCTCCACTGGGATCTGGTTTGTTCTCTCCCACAGTAGGTTGTTGCTAATAGTGTCCGGCCAATGGATCTGAAGTATTTTGCGTAGACAATTGTTAATAAACACCTGTATTTTCTGGATAATGGCTTTCGTAGTTCTCCAGGTTTCTGCCCCATACAGTAGAACTGTCTTGACATTTGTATTGAAAATCCTGACCTTGGTGTTGGTTGACAGTTGCTTTGAGTTCCAGATGTTCCTCAGTTGTAAATATGCTGCTCTTGATTTGCCGATCCGCGCCTTCACATCTGCATCAGATCCACCCTGTTCATCAATTATCACCAGTCCAGATGAAATCAGGTCATCATTGAGCACATGGTGAGCATTCAGATAGACAGTTTAGAAACTGATCAATGTAAATGTGATGTGCAGCAGGTAAAAATATCATAGACAGATGTGTCACTAGCCATCAACCACCATGCAAAACTGTTGACAGGCCGATATTTTCATTCTTCCCCGTTTCTATTCTATAACATATGATATATATGCTGAATGTAACAACTAAAGATATTGGCTTTAGACATGTAGTCTGATTGGTTAGTGACCAATAGATGTGAGTCTTTGTTTAATATGGTTACAAGTAATGACGTGAAAGCTATTGGCCGAAAGCCTTTCTAGATATATTTATAAGCCACTAGAAATAAATGCATAATTTATCAACTAACAACGTAATTCGAATAGATATTTCACAATATTATTCAGAACCAATTAGTTCTAATGAGAATCGTGTTATACATAAACATATGCGATTGTGAAATCCTGACTTTGAAATAACTGCATAATTCAATAGTCAGTTCGAATCACAGAGTATGGATTTCAAATTGTGTAAACTGTGTGTAATGTGTTTGGGGAATTTCTCAGTTAACAATGGAATAAGGTCTTCTGTTGAATGGAATCCAGCAGTCAGAATAGCAACAACATTCTTCACAGTCGTTTTGGCAGGAGTAATATTTTTCGGAAATCTGTTGGTGATAGTCGCATTTGCAATGACAAAAACTCTCCGGCTTGAAATCGATATGTACATTGTTTCTCTTGCAGTAGCTGATTTTCTTCTGTCATTCCTGATACTTCCACTGGCAATTGTTCGTCAACATCTCGGGTATTGGCCATTTCAGTCCAATATACTGTGTCAGTACTTCATGTCTGGGAATCTTCTGTTTTGTTTAGCTTCAGTACTCAGTCTGTGTTGCATTTCTATCGATAGATACATAGCAGTCACTCAACCATTACAGTACAACAGAACTCGTGGCTGCCACCGACCGTTCAGCATGTTGTTGGGTACATGGTTGTTGGCATTCACATCCGTCGCGTTACCATATATTTTTAGTTATCAACACCATTTCAGTGAGGGGGTGTGTTACTTGAACTATAATACTAGTTTCAGATTATATGTAGCTATTTTCCTATGGTTTTTACCAATTCTGATAATTGTATGTGTTTATTCGAAGATATTTTTTGTCATAAGACGTCATTCACTACGATGTCGACAAATGTTCAAGGTCCCCACTATCAATGTACATCAAGATCATTCACGGAAAGTTCAGAGACAACCATCAGACACGATAATGACCTCCTACAGTAATTCAAGTAGGAAACCTCTTGTTCTTGCTAGATATTCACTTGGCAACCTTGGCATACCAATGTTCACCAAATCACTGATAGTTCGTTTCAAAATATTCTGTCGAATGTCAACCAATGATGAATTAAATGATAGTATTGATGGATTACTCAAATATCCTGTTGAAAATAAATACTCTACACAAGTGTTTGTTCATATGCATCCTCCAGTAATAAACAAAACAAAACAGGAAATCAAACAAATGGACTACGATTTAAAGACATCCGATCCCGTTGAACAAGACCAGGGTGAAAAAGTGACATTGCCGAATCACAGGGAAAATGAAGACACCAAAGGAAAAACCATTCCCGAACAAAACTGTCAGAATAGAGGTAGGAATGTATTGAAAACTGAATACCCAGACAATATCGACAATCTTAATAGTTGTGGACTACATTCCATTTGTGAAAATCCTCAACAGCTTGAATCTCGAAATCGTAATCTCAGTGTAGTTGATGCTAAGAATAAAGAGTTTCATCAAGCAATCCTCGTCGAAAATAATAGAAGTAAGTTCTGTCTTCCTGAACACATTCGAGATCAGACTACATTTAAGCGAGAACTGCAAACAGTAAAGGTCATGACAATAGTGGTCGGTTGTTTCCTCTTCTGTTTTTTGCCATTTCTCCTGGTACATTTAGGAGAAATCGTTTGCACGTGCATGTTTCCAGAAACTCTACATACAACACTTTCATGGTTACTATACCTCAACAGTTGCTGCAACCCATTTATTTACGCTTTTCGTAACAAGCGCTACGCGAACGCATTTCGACGACTTTTAAACGCAGAAAACTGTTGTGGAGAGATGAAACTGGTAAATTGTTAAAGGAATTATCCTTCTACAAAAATGATGTACTTTTGCCTTAATAATAAATTTTTCCACCAGACAACACACTTGTTTTCACAATTTAATCTTATGTTTAAGTTGTAGTGTTGCTGAAAGATTTGCCATAGTGACAATCCGAAACTAGCTACCTAAATAGCTGGTTGACTAGATAGTCACGAACTATATTCTTTTCTGAAGTCGATGAAGTACATTCAGAGTGATAACGTTTTGAGGAAAGTTAGTATGCCAATAGAAGGATTTTATTCTACTAAGAGGGGAATCAGCGTAATAAGAAATCTGGTTCAGTGAATGTCGACAGAAATGCTTTTTATCACATATGTGGTTCCATCAACACATGAAGTAACGACTCTACTGATTAGCTGGTTTGTTTGGAAGGTGCACGATCATCCGACTTAATATCGATAATTAGCTGATCAGATTCAGAACTTTTAATTCCTGATTGGATACAAGTAAGTTCATTCAGTGACTGATCTTAAGGTGATGTATATCAACATAATAATGTCATAAGTGAATATAAGCCTAAGATTAATTCTCACACCATAGACCTACCCATTATATGGAGTGATTAGGAGACAGATTTCAGAAATAACTAGTATGGGAACATGTAAACGGTAAGTAAGTCAGATTTTTCCCAGAACTTCGTATAGCGACTGTTCTATAGGGTAAGATAAAATTTCCGAGATAATATGTTAAATAGTGAGGAGGCACTTTCAATGTAAGTATGACTATATGATAAAAGTTCGTCAATAATGTGTACGATAATATGAGGATGTGAAGAATCTTACAATGTTCGAAAATTTCTTAACATTTCGATTCGAGAGCAGAAATTATACATCCAACAACATTTACACATATTACGTATATTTTCTCCTGGTCAAAATCGAGGAATATCAATCCCCTCTCATCCACTCTGATTGTAACTTCATGCTTAACAGGCTGGTGAAAGCAAGTATATTCGAATAACTGAAAACGACAGTATGTTACTTCCGTGTGTCCTAAGTAAATGTGGATAATTGCGTTATCACGCTATTATGAAACAATCCGTATGATTTAAATAGTGAAATTTAACTAAAATGGACCAAAATAAATCGATGTGCTGAAAATTTAGCAGAGTTAAAGACAAGTCAGCGAAGAAAATTCTCTTCTCAACAGTGTCATTTACTTTAGCTGTACAATCGTATGTAAAGTTAGATCATACTAATGACAGTCTGTGATAACTTAGGGGTCGATACTGTAATTTATGGACTAGCCAATCAGACTTAAGAAAGCAGGTCTTAGATGTTGGCACGAAACTCGTTCATCCGTATGGCTAAATATCATTTCGGAATTATAGATGTCAACTCGTGATGAGAATCCTAACTCTAACTCCTACCTCTAAAGTCCAACCCTAAATATTGAATTCTTAACCACTTAGGACCAATTATTTTGACTACATGGATGACTTCGAAAGAAGATTCTGGCGAAGTAGAGCGACCACGATTTACGAAGTGTTCTAGGATTGAACTATCAACTGCCTTGTGTAATCATTTTGACAGCCAGGCAGAGTAATGCTCATAGACACGTTTTGAAACAAGATTCTTGTGAACGTCGTTTCTTTTCAGTCAGAAGAGAACTATAGTTCTCAGGCAATTAAGTACTCTATAACAAGAGATATCAATTGACTTTAAAATCGATTTCACTAGAATCGAATTACCTAAAACAAACAATCTGATTTTAAGAATTTAGAAAAGGAGCCAGATGCACATTCATTCACCTCAACAAGCTATCGGTAATCTGGTATCAATAATCCACACCATCAATGGTTTAAGAAGATTATTTCACTCATTTGACCAAACAGAAATGTGATTCCAATTGGTAAGAGATGGTCTTCCAATCGTTTATGCACTGCAGATTCATCAAATTACAATTAGATTTCAGTAGTGTAGATAGACTGTTCCAATAAGCTCTGTATTAACATTTTGGCTTTTTCGAGAGAAAGTGGAATTCTCGCTCAAATAATAAATGGAACTGTTTCTGCTTGTTAATTCCTTGACAGACACATAAGCTGATCAGGGACTTTAAGCTGTTTTTGAAGATCACTAACGTTTTAAACATCTTTGTGCTAACACTTATTTCCAGTTATTACAGTAAGAAGTATGATAGTAATGGGCTTCGGGAAGTTTGTAGATCATTTAGTCAACTACTAAAGAAAGCACGAATTAACTGAATTCATGATTCTGATTTATTTAACGTCAGAATTACAAGTTTAGAATTTTGCGTCAGGAAAATGAAGATATGTTACTTTGCAATTCTATCACTGTTCAATGTTATGCTGATTGATCAGTGAGTAGTGACCAAAGTCAAGTTTATCTAGTCCTCAAAACTGATTGGATTTTAATGATTAACTCTTAGTTTAGTCATTAGTCTGTGTGACTCCACATCAAATGCACCATGTTTTAAAGTTAGTACGTAAGCAACTGAGGAAAACCTGAATCACATTGTTTTTGAACACATAACAGAGTACTAACCCTTTTAGTAAATGAGAAATTTACAAACTTAAGTATGTGTTGGAGAGACATATCACATTTTCCATACTGAATTTGCTTTCTTATTTCACTTTTAAATCTAGTTGTCTAGATCGCTGTTCATACAACTTGTAATATCGAGTTGTTAAGCTGCCATATTTACAGACTGACATTGACGACACATTCGTGAGAGTTTATAAGTTTTCGGCATTTCAATATTGATAAAACTATGAGCATAAGAATTAGTGATGATAGTATTTAAAAAAAACTATTTGGTATACTCAACCACTCTACTTTTATCTTGATAAACAAAAATGAAGTTCAGTAAGTCGAAGTTGTGGCAGGAGGAATCTAGTAAACAACATCAACATTTTCATATCTCCTCTATATTTTAACTTATTTCAAGTTTCTTACTGTAAAAGTGAATGCAAATAGAAGATTTAGTAGAAAACAATTGACAGATGGCTTTATCATTATGTTGTTTACACAGGTCTAAAGGTTAAATGTGATTTTTTTTTAGTAAATTAATTGTTTACCAAACAGAATAACCATTATGTTAGATAACTTCGCTTGACACTATGTGTAGTTGAAGCATAGTTAAGTGAATGTTTGAAGATGAAACACAGATCAGGCAATCTCATCTATGGAAATGACTGGAGGACTTTAATAACAATTATCTCAAGTGAGATTTTAGCTGAATGTAATATCAGTATCCATGAGTTGATTCCCGGATGTTGCGTTAGGTAATGAGTTGATCAACAATATGGATGAATATCTGTTCATCAATCGACACATTTTACGTTTATATCAGTAGAACTCAGAACCTTCATTAGGCTTACCAAGATTTTCAGAATTACCTGGTTATGCCTAAGTCCATGCAATAAAACCTCATCATGAATTTGGATCATATTCGAGAAAACTATGGGTAGCAATCAATGAGTAGCGATATAACTTACTTACTTACTTACGCCTGTTAGTGAACAGAACACGGGTGGGGACAATAGAATACATTTAACACAAAATTACAGAACTTTTTATTAAACTTTAACAATCAAATAGTAAATACGTAATTTGAAAAATGTCCATCAATTGTCTCAAAATGACTCAGACTTCATTGTCTTTCCATTTTCATACAATTCGCATTCTGTTTCCATTCTTTACTGTTCGATCCTCTTGTCCCTATTCTGCCAGACATTCTGTTCCTGACTAACGTCATTCACTACTTATGTCAATATAAGTAGTGCACACCACACTTACTTACTTACGCCTGTTACTCCTCGTGAAGGAGCATAGGCCGCTCACCAGCGTTCTCCATCCAACCCTGTCCTGGGCAATCCTTTCTAGCTCCGTCCAGTTGTAATTCATCGCTTTCATATCTGCTTCTATTATCCGACGCAATGTGTTCTTTGGCCTTCCTCTTTTTCGCTTCCCTTCAGGATTCCAAGTTAGGGCTTGCCTCGTGATGCAGTTCGACGATTTGCGTAATGTATGTCCTAATCATTTCCATCGTCTTTTCCTAATTTCTTCTTCAGCTGGAAGTTGGTTTGTTCTCTCCCACAGAAGGCTATTGCTGATGGTATCCGGCCAATGTATGTTGAGTATCTTGCGTAGACAGCTATTTATAAATACTTGTACTTTCTTGATTGTGGTTGTTGTAGTTCTCCAAGTTTCAGCTCCATACAGTAGAACTGCCTTGACGTTCGTATTGAAGATTCTCACTTTGATATTGGTTGAAATTTGTTTCGAGTTCCATATGTTCTTCAATTGTAGGAATGTGACCCTTGCTTTGCCGATCCTCGCCTTTACGTCTGCATCGGATCCTCCTTGTTCATCGATGATGCTTCCCAGGTATGTGAAGGGCTCTACATCTTCCAGAGTTTCGCCATCAAGTGTGATTGGATTGCTGTTCTCCGCTTTGAATTTGAGGACCTTGGTTTTCCCTTTGTGTATGCTGAGGCCTACTGATGCAGAGACTGCTGCTACACTGGCTGTCTTCATCTGCATCTGTTCGTGTGTACGTGATAGGAGGGCTAGGTCATCTGCGAAGTCCAAATCGTCTAATTGATTTTGAGCTGTCCATTGTATTCCGTGTTTTCCTTCAGATGTCGAGGTCTTCATAATCCAGTCGACCACCAAAAGAAAGAGGAAGGGAGAGAGTAAACAGCCTTGTCTGACTCCGGTCCTTACTTGGAATGCATCTGTCAGCTGTCGTCCATGCACTACTTTGCACTGTAGTCTGTCGTATGAGTTCCGGATATATTGACAATCTTCTCAGGAACTCCGTAGTGTCGAAGAAGTTTCCATAATGTCCTCCTATCTGTCGAACGCCTTTTCATAATCAATGAAGTTGATGTATAGTGATGAGTTCCACTCAACTGATTGTTCGACGATGATCCGTAGTGTTGCAATTTGGTCTGTGCACGACCGATCCTTACGGAATCCAGCTTGTTGATCTCGAAGTTGAGCGTCTACTGCATCCTTCATCCGGTTCAGCAACACTCTGTTGAAGACTTTCC